ATCCCGGCGCCGCCCTTCCCTGCCTCGGCGCCGCCTTTGCTGGCCCCGTTGCCTACCCCTGCGGCCACGACGCCGCCCTTCCCTGCCTCGGCGCCGCCTCTGCTGGCCCCGTCGCCTACCCCTGCAGCCCCGGAGCTGCCCTTCCCGAGCCACCCGAACCGCCGCGCCACCTGAGCTGACGGAGCCGTCGGGTCGCCGAGCCGCTGTACCGCCGAGCCGCCCGAGTCACCGAGCCGCAGTTGCTGTTGAGCCGCCGTACCGCCGAGGCGCCCAAGCCGCCCAAGCCGCCGAGTTGGCAAGCCGCCGAGCTGCCCAAGCCACCCTGTCCGGTAAGAGCAGCGCCTCTGTCACTGCACTTCCCTTACCCTACCATTCACGCTGCTAGTCTACTGCTGTCATGGCTACCCCTAGTATCCTCGCTTTTGACGCTGAGGGTCGGGCCATTGACTTTGACGTCTGGGTAGATGACCTGCAGCATTTCCTACATTGCGATCGGGCAGACGATCTCTCCCTCTTTGACCTCACCTCTGGTGCCTCTCCTGCCCCTGCTGCTGATGCCGACGCCACTGTTCGCTCACAGTGGGCCACACGTGATGCTGCTGCACGTCTTGCTGTGCGTTGCCACCTGCCTACCTCTGAGCGTGCGCACTTTAGCCAGTACAAGAGTGCTCAGACCTTGTACGACGCTGTAGTTGCGCGCTATTCCTCCCCTGCCACTGCTGCACTGAGCCGCCTCATGCTACCGTACCTCTTCCCTGACCTTGCTGCCTTTCCCACAGTCGCTGACCTCATTACGCACCTCCCCACTAGTGACACTCGCTACCGCGCTGCGCTTCCTGCTGAGTTTTGCGCCGAGAACCCCCCCCCCCCCCCCATGTACATCACCCTCTACTACATAGTTACCCGGCCACCTGACTCCCTTCACGTAGTCAAGGACCACTTCCTCTCAGTTTGCCCCACCACGCTCACCGTTGACCTCCTCAAGAAGGCCATACTCGCAGCAGAGAAGAGCAGAGTCGCTGTAGGAGCCTCTCGTGGTGACCCTCGCACCCCCGTCTTTGAGGGGTGTTCCCCCTCCCCCCTTTTGCCCTCCGTTGCCTCTGCTAATGCGGCCGACCTCGCTGGTTTTGAGTCGGTCGGCGCTGCGTCTGCCCCGAGCGGGAGACGCCGCACCGGCAAAGGCAAGGGGGGCAAGGGTTCTGGAGGGGCTGGCGGGGGTGGCAGAGGTGGCGGTGGAGGAAGTGGACGGGGTGGGGGTGGTGGTGGGAGTGGTGGCAGGGGTGGAGGTGTCGGTGGCGGCAGTGGAGGAGGAGGCGGCAGCGGCGGTGGCGGTGGGGGCGGAGGTGGCGGAGGTGGCGGCGGTGGAAGAGGCGGCGGCGGAGGAGGTGGAGCTGGTCGGGGTGGCACTGCGCAGAGGGTCGGCTCCGGTGGTGGTCAGCGCCAGCAGCAGCAGCAGAAGCAGCAGCAGCGCACTCGTGACATCCCCCCCCCTCAACAGCTCCGTGAGTGGTACGCTGCACGCCAGCGGGGTGGGGGTACTGGTCCGTGCACCTACGTTCTATGCACCGGCGACCACGCGGGTGAGCAGTGCGGGGGTGCGCACCCCGCTCAGCGCTGCTTTGGCCGCCTGACGGATGCTTGGCGTCACCTGTTCCCTGAGGCCACTGAGGTCCCTCGCTGGGGCGAGCTGTCTAGGGCGGGGGTAGCTATCTTTGACCTTGACTTTGATGCTATTCTTGCTGCTATGTATGCTGTCACTATTAGTGATTAGGGTGACTGTTACTGGTGTTTTCCGCCCAACCCGGGCATTGAGACTGCTGCTCTCGGTACTGGTGAGGCTGCTGCTCTAGGTGCTAGCGAGACTGCTGCTCTTGGTGCAGGTGCGTCTGCTTCCTCAGGTGCTGGTGAGTCTGCTCTCTCAGGTACTGCGTCGGCTTCGGCCTCCCACACCTTCACCCTTGACACGGGGGCTTCTTGCTCCTTCTTTCGAGACCGCACCACACTCACACCGCTTGGTCGGCCAGTTGCAGTCTCTCTGGCAGACCCCTCTGGGGTTCCTGAACTTGCGCATTTCTCCACTGTCCTCCCGTGTTGGCGGCCCCCTCTGGCACCCTGTCTGGTCTTTACCTCCCCTCGTTCTCTACGAACTTGGTGAGTGGTGCTGACCTACAGGATGCGGGGGTTCACCAATTCACTCCTGCAAGTCAACGCGTGACCCACTGCACGAATGCTCGGACAGGGTGACACCTCGCCACGTTTACGCGTCGGCCGGGGTCAAGCCTGTACACACTGACCGCTGAGTCTCCTCCAGTCACCGCGTCTGGTCAGGTCGCTACGTCGGGTCAGGAGTTTGCTGCAGCATCCAGGTCTGGTCCTGAGTCTGCCCCCTGCTCGTGTCGCCTCCTGTCTCATGAGACACTCCTCTGGCACCACCGCCTTGGTCACCCCTCCTTGCTTTGTCTCCGAAGCATGGCCTCCCGTGTCCTTGTCTCTGGTCTTCTTGAGTCCCTCCCTCCCCTTCCTCGGAGGCCTGGCCCTACTTGTGTCCCCTATGTCAAGGGTCGGCAGCTGGCAGCCCCTCACTCCTCCCAGTTTCCTCCGACAGAGGCCCCGCTACAAACACTTCACATGGACGTGTGGCGGCCCAGCCCGCGTCCGTGGACAGGGTCACGAGCGCTACTTCCTGCTCGTGGTTGACGACTACTCGCGTTACACCACAGTCTTCCCCTTGCGTAGCAACCCTTGCGTAGCAAGGGTGATGCCACTAAAGTGTTGATCGACTGGATCCACGTTGCTCGTCTCTAGCTCCGGCAGAGCTTTGGCTCGGACTTTCCTGTTCTGCGTCTGCACTCTAACAGAGGTGGAGAGTTCTCCTCTGGCCTTCTGTGAGCCTACTGTCGTGCGCGAGGCATCCGCCAAACCTTCACGCTTCCGGACTCTCCACAGCAAAATGGGATTGCTGAGCGCCACATTGGCATTGTCGTGGACGTCGCTCGTACGTCCATGATGCATGCAGCTGCCCCCCATTCTCTATGGCCGTTTGCGGTTCGGTACGTGGCGCATCAGATCAACCTTCAGCCCAGGGTCTCCATGCCGAGACCTCCCCTGCTTTGCTGTGGACGGGGAAGGTTGGCGATGCGTCTGCGTTCCGTGTCTGGGGATCTCGTGTTGCTCCTTGCGTCTTCCTTGGCTTCCCCCCTTACGCGCTAGGGTGGCAGTTCTACCACCTCACCTCTCGTCGTGTTCTGTCCTCCTAGGACGTCACGTTCGACGAGTCGGTCCCCTACTACCGTCTCTTCCCCTACCGCACTCCGTCCCTTCCCCCCCCACCGCTCTTCCTTGTGCCAGGTCCCCCCCCGGTAGACCACCTTCCCCCTCAGGGTCCTACCCCTTCAGGTGTGTCCCAGGTAGACGCAGTTAAGCCTGTCGAGGTCGCTGGTGACTCTGGTGCTGCTGAGGGTGCTGAGCCTGGGGGTGCTGAGCCTGGGGGTGCTGAGTCTGGGGGTGCTGAGCCTGGGGGTGTTCTGTCTAGGGGTGCTGAGCCTGGGGGTGCTGAGTCTGGGGGTACTGAGCCTGGGGGTGCTGAGCCTGGGGGTGCTACGCCTGGGGGTGCTGAGCCTGGGGGTCCTACGCCTGGAGGTGCTAAGCCTGGGAGTGCGGAGCCTAAGGGAGCTGGGCCTTCTTGTGTGGCGTCTGGTGGTGCTGTGCCTGGCGGTTCTCTGGGTGCTTCGTCTCGGCGGGAGCCGCTCTCTCCACAGGAGCTGCGCGAGTGATTTGCCCGGCGCTGGAGGCGTGCTGCTGGAGTTGGAGTTTCTTCAGCTGCTCAGGGTGCTGGTGCCGCGGGTCCCGAAGGTGCTCGTACTGGGAGTACTGGAGCTGCTAAGGGGGTTGGCGCCGAGGCTACTACTGTCGGTCCTGGAGGCGGTCCTGCTGGGGGTGGTAGTGGTGCTGCTGTAGGTACTAGAGTTGTAGGTGCTGCTGGCGCTGGTGCTCGCGCTGGGGGTACTGGTGCTGTTCGTTATGTGTCTGGAGTCGCTGCGCGTCCTCGGCCGTACTTTGTTCCGCTCCTTTTGCAGGTTCTTGGTCTCCCGCCTTCTACTGGTCCTCCTCCTACCTTAGAGTGTCCACAGCCTGTCCTGTCATAGTTACAGTTACAGCCGACTTCCCCACTGCATGCTCCTTCTCCCTACACTGGTCCTACTAGAGGTCTTGCTGAGCGTCGTGAGCCTGCGTCTCGCCCTGCGTCGCCTATCCGTGCTGCTCGCACTAGTAGTCGTGGTTAGCGTTAGTGTCCTCCTCCTGTCCCTGGCACGCACCGGATGTCTCTGCGTCCGTCCACTGCTCCTCTACGTCCCCTTTTGCCTTCTCCTCCTGAGTCTTCTCTTCCTGCTCTTGCCGACCCGGAGTCGGACTCTCTTCGTGCTGCCAGTCCTACTGTCACGCGTCTCCTTGCCACAGTTGTCACTGACCCTTCCTTTGAGTCCACTGCTGCGTCTGCCTTAGTTGCTGAGCTCGTCAACTTTGCTACTCACTGTCGCCTAGACTACGCTGCTAGTCGTGTTGCTGAGTCTGAGTCTGTCTGTCCTCCGTCCGTCGGGGGTGAGTGTGCCCTTGGCACGGACGGCCTTGAGGACAGGCAGGAGGAGTTCCAGTGCTTGGCTGCTGTTTCACCTCATCTCGTGTCCGTACTGCTTACCCCTGAGGGAGACCCGGATGCACTTGACATCCCGACTCCGCGCTCTTACTCGGAGGCGATAGAGGGTCCCTACTCCTCTCAGTGGCAGGGTGCTACGGACGCAGAGATGACTTCTTGGAAGTCCATAGGCACCTACGTTGACGACGTTCCCCCTCCTGGGGCGAACATCGCGTTCGATCAACTCAGGGACCTATATGTGAAGCTCTCTGCTGCTGGTGTGGACTACCCTGAAAAAATCAAGTGCTACAAGGCTCTCTCCCTGCTGCCAGAGTCGTGGGGGCCCTTGGTGGTCAACCTTAATGGCATGAAGGACTGGTGGTCCTTTGAGTGGATTCGCGCGCAAGTTCTTCAAGAGGAGTTTTGGAGGAAGGAGCTGACCGCCGCTGCCAGTGAAGGTGGAGGTTCAGCCTACGGCATGAAGGGCTTCAAGGGGCGTGGCAGCAAGAAAGGGAAGGCCAAGGAAGGCTCTGGAGGGGAGCAGCATTTGGGAGGGAAGCGTGGCAACAAGGGAGGCAAGCAGTGTGGCGGCAAGTGTTGGTATTGCCATGTGGAAGGGTACCCATGGTTCAAGTGCCGCAAGCTACCTGACGGCTGGAGGCCTGGTCAGCCATCAATTGAGGGCTCCAAGGGTGTTCATGGAGCTATGGGAGAAGGCGTGGGCAGTGAGGAGGGCGATGGAGGTGCTGGCGGATACGGCGGTATGTTCTACCATGTAGGAGAGGCGTGCTCCGAGGACATGGTTGTGCCGGCCAGCAAGGTTGCTCTTCACCACTCCTCCCATTGGGTCATCGACACGGGAGCCTTCATGACCATGACCAACTGAGAGGATCTACTGGATGAAGTTAGGCCATCAAAGGCAGCCACTGTTGTTTCAGCCACCGGCCAAGTTGTACCCGTGCGTGGCGAGGGGAGAGCCATGTTCATGGGTGCGGATGGGAGGCTTGTGGGGCTGAAGCGTGTTCTCCTTGTTCTTGGATTGTGTGCCAACCTCCTCTCTACCAAGGCCCTAAGTGAGGCAGGGATGAAGATGGAGATGTTGGGCACAAAGGTTTTCAAGGCAACTCTGGATGGGCGCGTGTTGTGGGACCTCCGAGGCGGCAAGGACATGCACCGGTCCATGTGGGAGATACCGGTGCTGCCATGGAAGGAGGCAGCTGCGCGCTTGGCTGCTGGAGGTGTGAGAGGAGGGCGTGTTAACCACGTGGACAATGGAGGAGGTGGTGATGATAGTGATGGTGGGCTCCTTGGGCATGGAGGGGCTGAGTTACCAAGTGTAACTCCTAGCACGGGTGAGACGGATTGGCTCACCGCACACTGTCGCTTTGGCCACGTGGCGCTACCTCAGTTGCAGCAGCTGTTCAAGGAGGAAAGAGTCAAGGGTCTGATGATAAAGGGGGAGCCCAAGGAGGTGGGATCTTGTGAGACTTGCTTGACCAGCAAGTTTTCACGGTTTCCCTTCCATTCGGTGGAGGGGAAGTCGAGTGACCCGGTGGAGCTCGTGCATGTGGATCTCGTGGGACCCATGAAGGTGAAGGGAGATGGTGGGGCCCTGTATTCCATGACCATGGTGGATGACAACACAAGGCTCACCTGGTCCTTTCCACTTGCAAAAAAAAGTGATGCTGCAAGGATCATCATTGAAGAGTGGCTGCCCTTGGTGGAGCGAGAGAGCGGCAAGCGGGTGAAGGCGATTCGTAGCGACCGTGGTGGGGAGTTCTTGGGAGCGGAGTTCCGGAGCTGGCTGAAGCGGCACGGCATCAAACAGCAGCTCACCACGGCCTACACTCCTCAATCCAATGGCGTGGCAGAGAGAGCGAACCAGACCATCATGGAGGGTGGGAGAACGATGTTGGTAGACTCGGGTCTACCCTTACGATTCTGGCCCCTCGCTATTCGCCATGCCACCGTCATCAAGAACCGAGTATTGACTCATGTGGGAGGGCAGCATTGGGTCCCTATGGAGAAGTGGAGAGGCAAGAAGCCCCTGGTGGATATGCTTCGAGTCTTCGGGTGCATGGGACTCGTGCACGTCCCTAAGGAGAATTGTGACAAGCTTCAAGCGGCGGCGATGTGGGCTGTTCATTTGGGACTTGCACAAGGGGGCAAAGGGTGGCTCATGTGGGACCCAAAAGCCAACACCATCTTCACCACCAGAGATGCCAAGTTCATGGAGGGGCTCATGTTCAAGGAGTGGTTGGAGCGAGGGAGGAGCAAGGTCACCATTCCGCTCGGAATAGTGGTGGGAACGAACGATCCACTCCTCATTCCCATCGAGTTGTCTTCATCTTCAGAGGTAACGGAGGTGTCACATGACTTGGGAGGTGCTGAAGGGGAGGCAACAGAAGTGGAAGGAGTGTTGCAGCAAGAGGAGGCCCCTGTAGCTGAGAGATGGGATGCCGGGGAGGAGGTGCAGCAGCCAACATCATCCCCTTCACTTCCATCAAGGCGGACAACCCAAGGGAAGCGTGGTGCTGTCCGCGGTGGAGTTAAGGAGGGTGCAGCCAAGGAGAGGCCCAAGAGAGCTGCTCACCCAAGGGATTTCCTCAAGTATGAAAGGCTTGGGGGTCCTAAGGCATTGCTGGTCCAGGGGGAGGAAGATGATGAGGAGAAGGGAGCCGAGGGAGAGATGGAGCAGATTTGTTGCTTCGGTGTCAACTTACCTCATGAACCGGCTTCAATGGAGGAAGCACTTGCTGGAGATGATCTAGAGGCTTGGTTGGCTTCAAGGGAGGATGAGTTTCAGAGCCTCATGGAGAATGGAACATGGACCCTCACTAATCTGCCCCCTGGAAGAAAGGCATTGGATTGCACGTGGATATTACGTGTGAAGACCGATGCGGAGGGGAAGTTGGAGAGGCGCAAAACAAGACTTGTGATCAAGGGCTTCCAGCAGAGGGAGGGGGTTGACTTCAAGGAGGTGTTTGCTCCTGTTGCCAAGGCTCCTACGCTCTGGGTGTTGCTAGCAGCAGCTGCTGTTTGTGGTTGGAAGGTGAAGCAAATGGATGTGAAGACGGCTTCCTCTATGGCGTGGTAGATGAGGAGATCTACATGAAGCAACCAGAGGGGTAGGACGATGGGAGCGGACGTGTTTGCAGGCTCAACAAGGCCCTCTATGGCCTCAAACAAGCTCCAAGGTGCTGGTATGCAAGGCTGATGGAGGTGTTGGAGGCTCTTGGCTTCAAAGTCAGCGGGTGCGACGAGAGTCTCTTCATGACCGAGGGGGAGGAGGAGAAGGTGTTTCTCCTTGTCTATGTCGATGACATTCTCCTCTTCTCTCCATCTCTAGAGAGGATCAAGGAGGTGCAAGGGAAGCTGAAGGAGACCTTTCAATGCAAGGCCCTTGGACCGGTGGGGTATTACCTTGGTCTTCACGTGGAGAGGGACGAGGTGAAGGGATGGTTGAGGCTTCACCAACACAAGTACCTTGCAGCCATGGGGAAGTGGTATGGGCTGGAGGAAGGGAGGAATGTGAAGACTCCTCTACCCTCAGGGTTTCAGCTACACCTTGATGAAGAGGAGGGTGAGGTCTTGGAGCCCGAGTTTCAGCGTCGGTTCCGGTCAATGGTGGGGAGCTTGATGTATGCTTCGGTCAACACTCGCCTCGATATTTCATTCGCGGTTTCGCAGCTGGCTCGTGTGGTGTCTAGGCCCCTTCAAGAGCACCTTGATGCAGCAGAGAGGCTGGTGAGATACTGCATGGCAACCTCAAGGGTGGGGCTGCAATATTCAGTGCATGGGCAGCTGAAGCAAAAGGGAGTGGAGGAGGTGAGCACAAAGACCGGTGCACCTGCAAGGCGTGGACACTTGTACCTCTCGTGCTTCACCGACGCTACATGGGCAAGTGCCATTAGTGATGCAACATCCCATGGTGGCTATGTATGCTGTGTTGGAGGGAGTCCAGTGAGCTGGAAGTCTAAGAAGCAAGGGGAGATAGCTCACTCATCAACGGAGAGCGAGTACATGGCGTTGTTTCATGGGGTGAAGGAGGTGATTTGGATGAGGAGGTTGCTTGAGGAGTTGGGGCAGGAGCAAGAGGGCCCTACACCTGTGTTCTGTGACAGCCAAGGAGCAATTGCAATGGCTCGCAATGCTGTGCTCCATGGGCTGAACAAGCACATGCATATCAAATGGCATTGGGTGAGGAAGGAGGTGAAGAAGGGCACGGTCTCCTTGCACTACATCAACACTACCAAGCAACCTGCAGATTTTTTTATGAAGCGGCTTGCAGAGCATCAGCATTGGACCTGCGCCACCTTGTGTGGCATGTCCTTCAACTAAGGGAGGCAGCTTCAGGGAGCAGCTAAGGGATGAATGAGAGCACGATGAGGGGGAGCTTGTTGTGCCAACACATTACAGTGGCACGGTCATCGCACTCCCATTCAGCCTACAAGCCTGATCAGCTTCTGGAATTTTGTGGGGAGGTTTTTCAACATGTGTTCTTCAAACTCTCAAAGTTTCAGAGTTTTTGAAGCAGTTACCAAGGCGTGAAAACATTTTATGTTTCAAGACTTATGGCATCCCGGAAGTATGTGTTACTCCTTTTTGGTAACACCCGAGTTCACCATTTCGGCTGCTGACTCGTCTACCAAGCTTCGATTGGTCTGAAATTCAGTCTGGAGGTTTGTTGCCCCGCTGTGCAGATGTTCATCAAGTTTCAGAACGATCCAACATGTGAGCATTGCGTGACAGCTGCCGAAATGCACTGTTCCGTAGTCATGGTGCACGGTTGGCAGCATTTCCCTTGCCACCCTTTCATTGTTGTCATGCCAATGGTGCAGGGACAGAGAATGAGACAAGAAGTACAGGTGGTCAAGTGGGACTCTACAGCCCTCCTTTTGAGAAGTGTGGTCTTCCTGGAACCAGCTTGCAAGAGGGTGCAAGTGGGAAGACAAGCTGACTCATGGTTGGCTTAACTCACAATTGGTTGCCTTGAGTACAGCTCTGATCATCCATGTGTGGTTGGCTTTGCTGACCTATCTAGGACGTTTCCCATCCTTCTCTAGCCTTTCTCCCCTAGGACTCAACCTTCTCTGAGTTCCCAGGATGACCCAACCCCTTATGAGTCCCCTAGGCAATGTTGTACTCACCTCTTCCTTGCATCAATGAGACTACACGTTTTTCAGCCGAGATTACGTTTTCGTTCACTGCGTAGTGCACACACCTCAGATAATAGCACATAATATACCGTTGGAAAGCAGACACCTAAGGCTAACCGCTGTCTAAGTTTCGGCCTCGTATATTTTTGGAGCTGATCGTGACGGCGTTTTGAACAGAGGCGGTTTGAAGACGTCAGATTCTGCTTAGGGGGTTTCATGGGCATCCGCGACCTCTAAGTGGACTCTTGACTATAACAGCTATCACCAAGGGCAAGTCTGGAGGAGGAGGGACTATGAGAGGAGAGGAGGTAGTGGGCGGCAGCTGAAGCTGCTGGCACACGGCGCAACTGGAGCAGCTGGCACACGGACAACTGGAGCAACTGGCACACTGGCAACTGGAGCAACTGGCACACGGGCTACTGGAGTAACTGGCTCCACGGCTAACTCTGAGCGGCAGGAGCAACGGACTTACGGGCGACTAGAGCAACTGGCTCACGAGCGACTGGCGCAACGGGCTCACGGGCGACTGGTGCAACGGTCTCACGGGCGACTGGAGCTGCGGGCTTCACGGTGGCCACCCCCCTTCAACTTCCCCAAACTATCCCACCCCCTTTTCACACACCCCCTGCTGCACCCTAGGTTCACTCACACCCCACCCCCTAGCACCACTTCGTCGACTCCTACACACCCACCCCCCTCAGTGGCAGCTGCAGCAGTGGGAGACAGAGTAGGAGGAGGAGCAGGGGAGACCACAGACCCGCCACCCCCTACTTGCCACCCCCAAACCCAAACACAGAGCATGGCGGGATGGCGGGTAGGAAGGTTACGGGGGGGGGGGGGGGGACGCGCAGCCTCCCAGGGCGCCAAAACAGGCGGCAGAAGGGGCGACGCTCGCCCCCCGCGCGCGGATTTCTCAGGTCGCCTCGAGAGGCGACGGGAAAAGAGGGGGGGGCGGTGCACGGGTCCTCGGTGCGCCGCGACAGGCGACGGACCATGGCCGGGGCGGGGCCGGGGCAGGGTCGGGGCAGGGCCGGGGTAGGGCCTCGACAGGGCTGCGACAGGGCAGGGGCAGGGCCGCGATAGGGCCGCGGCGGGCGACGGGGCAAGGCCGCGACGGGGGGCCGCGACGGGGGGCCGCGACAGAAGGGCCGCGACGGGCGGGGGGGGGGGGCGCAACAGGGGGCCGGGGCAGGGCCGGGCGACGGGGCAGGGCCCGGGCGAGGCTGTGACGGGGCCGCGAAGGGGCCACGAAGGGGCCACGAAGGGGCCACGAAGGGCCGCGACGGGCAGCAGGGCAGAGTGCGAAACGAGCTAAGGGTAGGGCAGAAAAGAAAAGTTTAGTGAAGTGGTAGGCCCTAGGAAGGAATAGTCCCAGGAGGGAACCAGCTCTATACCATGTGAGAATTGAGGAATGAAAGGAAGGAGGGGGTTTTACTAGCAAGCAGTTGAGTAAATATAGCAAACCCTAAATTGGGCTGTACTCACTATTGAGTACCCCACTGCAGGCTAGACAAACATAACATTCTGACACCGGTCGCGCTGGCCGGCGTTGACTTGGCACCCTCGGCGGTGGCCGGCGCCTCAGGCCCCTCAGGGGCCACGTGCGCTTGAGGCCCCCCAGGGGCATGTGTCCCAACGAGGTCGGCCTCGCGCAGCAGGACTGCGATGGCGGTCGGGGTCGACTCCTCGTCGTCTGCCCGGCGCTTGTTATGACGATCGCCCGCGGGTTCGCGGGTAAAATTTCCGTCGTCGGGACGAATTGGGGCGTTGGCGTTGTCACCGTTAAGTGCCATTGTAGCCTCGTTGTGAGCGAAAATATCTGAAAGAAGTGTCGACGGAGACAGAAAGCGAGGTAGTGATTTCAACTTTGCCAGCTTGGAATTGGGAAGTCGAAACTTGACTAAACCGTTAGAAAAATGAGAGACGTGGGTAGAGGGAAATGGCCTCCAGCCCACGTTTTGTACTCCAAAACGGGCGTTTAGCGCGGTTTGCCGATGACCATTGCTACATTACCAGCCGCTTCGCTTTCAAAATATACAATTTTGAAAAGCGTTACAGCTTTTAAAAATATTCATTTTTCCTGGAGTCCAACTTTGCGGAAGAAATCACGGCATCCACGGTCAGGGAGGTTGAGCAGGAGCTGTTGTTGTACAATTGCCGTCTCATGTCGAACGAAAAGAAACTTGCGGGGAGGCAAAAAGCAACAAAGGGGCTCGGGAGATCAACCATGTGGGACCTGATACTTATTCACCCGGATGGCTCCAGGTCGCTGAAAAGTGAGGAAGAAATGGAAAGGTCCTTCGGGGGCAAAGCAGGAGGGAAGCTGGCAAAACGTGTCTTTGACGCGACCCCTGAGGAGTGGAAGCAGCTGTTGCAGGTGCCGGTCACGGCGGAGAAAATCATGGAGGTGTCTGGTTTCGTGCTCAAAGTAGGGACCAACCATGGCCTATGGAAGTTTGTCGGTGTGGACGGGAGTGTCAAATTATATTATTGTGTAGGCTATAGTGGGGTAGCCTATATGGGGTACACATTTCTAGGGCTGCATATTTGTATCACTTCCATTCCTTAGTCATTCATTCTCGTTCACATCTTCTCATGGTATCGAGCAGGTTCCCCCGTGAGAACTGTGCCTAGGGCCCACCACATCGACTTTTTTTTTTCTGCCCGAAGCGCGCTCCGCAAGAGTCGCACTTCGGGCTCTCACCTCGTCGAGCCGCGCTAGCGGCCCCTTACGCCCTAGCGGCCCTATCGCCCTAGCAACCCCCCTTCCCCTAGCGGCCCCGCCGCCCGTCGCTTCGGCCCCGCCGCCCTAGCGGCTCTTTCCCCTAGCGGCCCCGCCGCCCGTCGCTTCGGCCCCGCCTCCCATTAGTGCGGCCCCGTTGCCCCGCATTGCGGCCCCGCCGCCCGTCTTTGCGGCCCCGCCGCCCGTCACTGCGACCCCGCCCCTCTCGGCGGCTCCGTCGCCCCACACTTCGGCCCCGCCGCCCTACTCAGCGGCCCCGCCGCCCTACCTCGCGACCCCGCCGCCCTTCTACTCAGCGGCCCCGCCGCCCTGCTCAGCGGCCCCGCCGCCCTTCTACGGCGGCTCCGCCGCTCTTCTCCTGCGGCCCCGCCGTCCTACTCAGCGGCCCCGCCGCCCTACTCCTGCGGCCCCACCGCCCTACTCAGCGGCCCCGCTGCACTAACCTGCGGCCCCGCCGCCCTTCTCCCGTGGCCCCGCCGCCCTACTCAGCGGCCCCGCCGCCCTTCCACTACGGCCCCGCCGCCCTTCTCAGCGGCCCCGCCACCTTACTCAGCGGCCCCGCCACCCTTCTACTGCGGGCCCGCCGCCCTTCTCAGCGGCCCCGCCGCCCCTTTCACCAGCGGCCCTGCCGTCCTACACCGCCCGCGCCGCCCGAGCCGCCCGAACCGCCCGAGCTGCCCGAGCCGCCCGAGCCGCCCGACTCTCCTGAGCCGCCCGAGCCGCCCGACCAGCCCGAGCCGCCCGAGCTGCCCGAGCCGCCCAAACCGCCCAAGCCGCCCAAGCCGCCCGAGCGGCATGATCAGCCGAGCCACCGGTGTCGCGGAGCCACAGTCGCAGCTGTGCCGTCCTGTGAGAGGACGTCCCCGTTATAATATTTTCTCACTATTATATTTTTCTGTTATCCTATTCTCCCTTTTCTCCTCTTTATTTTGGTCTTTATCTCATCTCAATCGGCCTACTATTCTATTTTCTAGAGCCTTCTATTTATTTCTCTTATTTCCTACTTTTCCCACCGACATACCTATTATACGGCACCAACAGCGCCGACAGTGGTGTATACGATGTAATCTGGGCGTAATCCCAAGTGCCAATAGCCTTGCGTGCTTATGCGCACTTGTGATTGTAGTATCGGGAAGGGTGTGTTCCCGAAGGTTCGTTTTATCTCGTTTATCCTTGTACTTTCTGAGTATAAATAGGCCTTGTATTCAGTTTTAGTGAAAAGTTTCGATTGAGAATTCGATCCTGTGACACTTGGTAATCAGAGCCGTTCTCACTCGACGACTCTCGGCTAAGCAGCGGTTGCGGAAAAAATCGCCTCGAAAAACCGCCGGGGGCGACCAATTCGACGCCGATTTCTGGTAAGCACCAGTTCCGCGCTTTTCGAATTAACCCCCTCGCGTGGTTTTTGAACAGGATGGGTTCGCCGGTGACCAACGACG